TAAAACTAATTTCGAATATACATTCATTTGCAAACTAATTCGGTGTTTTTTCGAGAGACTCACCTGGAACCCAGCTGAATCTCTCGTTCGTGATGTTCTCAGGCAACTGAATGTGCTGTACCAGGCCGCCTCATGTTTCAGTCGCTACGATATTCGAGATATCGCGATACATGTGTCTTTGTACTGTACTACTCATAAGGTTGCTGAAAATTCGTCGACAGCCCACGACCGGTTTCGCCCTTTTTGGGGCTCGAATATCGAAGCGACTGAAGCATGAAAAGACTGATGACATCGTTCTTACTGCCTACTCATCGCCGCACACACTGAAGCCTGAACCTGACCGAGATAAACGCCTCAATTGGGTGACCAACCAAAATACCATAACATGAGGATACCGGTGCATTAGTCTGTTGCCATGGCTACCCGCAACAAATTTCACCATAGATTTGTAGTCAGCAAACCGCGCTTATGAGTTGAAACATTGACTATACCATGCCTATGTGTAAATTAGGGAGATTTTGGTGGAGAGAAAATACAGAAGTACAGGTTTCACACTTACCAAATGAACATCTAGCAGTGCTTGTTTGGCCAAGAAACGTTCGCGTTGAATCCTCTCTTCCAGGCTGCTTGGAACATCGGGGATGAGGAAGTCGAACAAATCGGCCAGCAGAAACGCCACGTGCTGAAAAGGCGGGGTAGAACGGACAGTGTGATAGATGTTACTTCAGGATGCACAAGACCGGACATTAGCCGATATCGCAAGAGTGAATTTTAGGCGATCGCTTTCGCGAATTTGTTGTTTTCATCCTTATCGGTGTACGGAGGCCAGCCGTCCCTAATAACCGAACATCACATCACTGTCCACGTGCAGGACATGGCCCAAACGAAGGCATGCTCTGATTGGTCAGAATGCCAGCCAATCCGGATCGAGCATCTTTGACTCGACGCTTCTCGCCCCCTCACGGTGATTCTAGTACGACCTTGTGGAACACTCTGTGATTACCCTATAAATACAGATGTAATGATTCTACTTTTGCCTCCATGCGGGGCTGTCTAGAGCTACCGTGCCTTTTGATATAGCATAGTGGGCGGAGCAGGAAGCCAAGGGACCGATACAGAGTTGCACGATCGTCCATCAGACACAACAATAGGGAAGCATGAAAGGCCTGCTCCAATTCGTTGGGGGAAACCTTGACTGATGTGTGATCAGTATTAACTAAAACCGTGACCGACTGACACACTGGAAACAGCAAATGTGCTACAAACTGACTGGCTACAACAACTATAACGGCAAAGGAGTTTTAAGTGGCTCGGAAAGAGCACTCAACAGAAGATCGCACTAAAAGTTTTGTGTCATACATTTGATAGTGGGAACACCTTTTCCTCGATAGTGACTGCCATATTTCATGATTGAACTTCCATTTTAGATCTACAGACGTCTCACAGCAAGGGTCAAACGTGAACATACCGTTCGACTAGTTAGCCATTTTTTACCATAGGAAAAAAACAAATTGGCGTAAGCAAAATCCAAAAGCAACGTACTTCAAAAACAATGACGAAAATCAACCGAAGAGCCAGTAGACGCCAATAGAACATCGTGTACTCCCCTTGCGGATCGCGAAAAGCAGTATATCTGCGAGGATTAAATGTAAAGAAATGCTGTAAAGGTCAACAAAGATAATAGCGTGACTTCTCAGAATATTTGGACGGTTTTTAGACAATGCAGAGTGAAGTGTAAGAACAATGTAAATTCCAAATTCCTCTTAGAACGCTGTCATTTTAAGCAAGGTTTGAAAACGTTGCATCCCTAATCAGAGTGGCTGAAACCGCAAGCCTTTTGGAATGTACATTACGAATTTTCTTTGTGTTCTGTAAAACTACCAAGTGAGGGGACCGTTTACCTAATCTGGGTTCTTTTTAGGAACTTTACAGAATAAAGCACAATACACAGATAAATGCCGATGAACCGGAACACAGGATTGGGATCACAACTCCTGGCGGAGAGTTCCCATGCATTTACAAAACAGAAAACGCGTATCCTTCGATGTTAGGGTAGCTCACCGATAAACGGCACAGCCAGCCAACATTGAAAAATCAGTGGGGAAAGAACGGTCTGCTAACCCAAACAACCGTGGCGATCACTGAAGTTCGAGCATAGCTATTTAACAAGGAGTTGCCTTTAGAAGAAAGTACCAAATAGTTTCGATTTGCAGATGAGTGTATTTCTCGAAATTACCAAATAGTTTTGTTATGAATACGTACAGAGTGCCCTGATGCGCATCACTGTTCCATTCCACGCCGCACACAGTTTGTACGCACCATCAACTGAGCTGCAAGTAGAATCTACGTAGAATGTAAGTAGAATGCTCCTATACTCTAGTCCTGCGCAGCCCCTCCAGTATATGGATCAAGTGTATTGACTGCCTCAAAGACCACGACAGCACAAATAAAGCCTTTGTTAAGAACAAACAAACAAAAAATATGCTACATGCTTCAAAACACGGGGTAAGACAAGCTCATAAGGGTTCAATAAGCGGAGCTCGTAAATTTATTGCTCCCATCCGTACGTAAAACTCTAACCCCTCAGAGGGGAACCCACAGGTTAAGAATCCATGCCCTAAATAGCATCTGGCTCTGTTCACTCATCACTACGATATGCTCTGTAGATTCGTCTTTCAAGATTATCTAGGCTTCGCACATAAATGTCTTAACCAATCATGCTCTCACCAAACTACAGGGTCACTGAAACCGAAACTCCTCGGGGCAACTCATTGTCTGAAAGCAACGTCCGGTGTCAGCAAAACATAATGGGGTAGAAAATATCGAAGTTTTTTAGCGTATGAAAAAACTGCACATTAAGGAAACCGTGCAAGGAACCACTGGTAAAGATTACTCCGATTGGTTTACGGACCTTCTCAGGAAAACTGTTGTTTGAAAGTACACCATGCTTTCGTACCACTTATGAGTCGAATGGGGTTAGACATTCAACAACAGCAATAGCGCTTGCTTGTGTTGCTGTTCTCTACATGCACAAATATCAGTCTGCAATACAGAAGCCCACGAGTGTTGCTTTAGGGGTACTACAGTTAGCACTAGAAAGGGCGAGATTCTCTTCGTGGGCAGTTGTGGTCGAATGGAGACAACTGTTAGATTTACTTCACGACAGTGGCCAATTTTCCCACCAACGGTGCATGAGCCGAGGCGTTATGCGCCTGTCCCTTCGAGCTGATATCCTGTATCAAGATAAGTTTCTGAGAGTAGCAGACGGGAGGTTTTTTCCAATGATCTCATCATGAAACCAATCTATGCTGGAAGCCGAGAAGCACCATACAGCTGTTCCATCATTATTGAGAATAGTCAACAGTGCGCATCTCAAGGAACTTCAGGGGGTTTCGAACTAACGGATTCCGGCTAGTAGTTTAACGATTACCCACCACGTAAGGCTGTGATTGACCCGCACTTAAATAGGATATAGCGCCAATCATCCGTTAATCAGTTGACGAGCCGGTCAGCACGTGACCAGATGAGTTGGTTACTGTGACTGATGCATGGGTGGCTCTATATACTGTCCAAATGCGGCCTAATCGCAATGCTGATTAGAAGCTCGTGGCCGAACAGTTAAGTGTTCAATAATCTACTTGCAGGGAGGTCGCGGGTTCGAAACCATTGACGAGCCTAAATAAGGATGAAACAACCGTACGGTGCTCCTCGGCTTTTCAACATTGATTGGTTTCACCCGCTATACAATTAAAAAATTTCAATTAAAAATTCGCAAACCTCGTCAGATTACTATCAGCTGGCAGGATAGTCAGTCTCTTGCCCAACCGACCAACGCACGACCAAAAAAGCGGTTCACACTTCAAAAGTGGAACAGTGAGGTAGCTCATCCGGTCATCATCCCAAATTGTTTCGTGTTAGTAGTGTGGGTCGCGTTAGGCTATGAAAGATGAGAGGACCATAAGTAATTCAATGACCGGACTAAACTATTCTCAGGGTCGTGGTACACTTGTGTTCTCCACATGTTTATAGCCACAGAAATGTGGTCGGACTCAAAGATCGAGGTGTTCGGCTGGTGCACGGCTATTATGCAAAACAAAGGTTGTTCAACCCCCGAGATGAGCTATTGGAATTGGGCTCGAAACACCGGCTTCTCGGTTGGTACTTCGCACCTGAAACATTGAGCTATTTGTGGATAATTGGGTTATAAGTGGTTGATACTCGAATGAGTACTTTCAAGTAAGTCTGTGTCGCTGAGCAGTGCCGACCAAAATTGTGCAAACTTCATCCTGGCCCACTATGCGAACTATGTTGTCATGCAATCGATCCTGCCACTTAGACGCGTTAAAAACTTGTTGTTACTCAATAGGCTTCCAGATGAATCATGGACACCACCTGTACTTAATCAGATTTTCCGAAGACTGACCGCAGTATTTCAAGATTGTTGACAATATTGCGAGGTTTGAACTCTGGAAAATCGAACCAAAAAGGTCACCAAACAACGTATAACTTTTTCATTCTTCTAAGGGTAACAATCCTAAAGCGGGATACGAACCGCCTGCCTAATACCGTGGTAAATCGGAGCACTCAATACCGGTTTCGCAGACAAAGAGCCAGTTAGGGTGTACTTCCTTGCCCTCGGTCAAACTCTTCCCTTGTCTACTGCTGTTCACTGCGTCTACCTCATAGACTCGATATGCATTTGTAATCCCTCGTGAACTTTTAACCCTTGACTTGTCGAACCAATTTGGTCGACCATCCTTGACGTGCGCTTCTTGACCATTTTGCGTTACCACGTGTTGTGCCCAGGTGTGTCGCAAACTAAGATCAATTTGCCATCTTCTTCGGGCTTTCTTTGGAATTGCGCTACTTCGTGCAACAGTTTAGACGGAACTCCCCCATAATTTTAGGTTTGTACCCCTTTTATTACGTATTTTATACATGTAGTGCCGCATCTTTTGCTAAATCTCAAGAATCCACAATTTCCGGCTTGCGCGTCAATCAGGTGGGTTTTCTCGAATACGTCGAAGTAATCTACATAGGGGTTACCTGGCTTATCCACAGGCGAAAGTCGATTAGATCGAAAAGTCCCAGAAAGCACTGGGAATTTACACCATCTTTGATCGCTTATGGAAAGGCGAGTGGATGCATAACTCTTTCAGATGTGCTGTTTGATTTGACGGATTCCGATTGATGAGCGCTATTGGCTAAAAATGCTCATCGTTGTGCCTGTATGTACATGAAAGTGGATCGCATGTTCCAGATGTGCTTTGAGCATGTCTCATTTATTTTAATGCACTGTTAAAGGCCCATGTTAAAGCTGTCACGCTAGATACCTTGTACTTCTAAATTGTGGGGCTTCGGATGCCCGTCATACCACTTTAACTGAACATTCCAATCAAGGGTGCTCTGCGCTTTTGCGTTGTGCTACTTAGTTCACATTTTCCTGCGGGATACGGTATAAAGCATATTGCGTACGTGTGTGTTCGAGTATGCGAACCGTATTCACTGATTCCCTGATCAGCTGTAGACCGACGTATAGTAACCAGCTTCGTTAGAGAATTGAACTAACACACCTATCCCCTTGAGTGTTGCTTTTTGGAGATCAACGAAGCATGCGAGCCATCGACTGACAACGGCAGGTAGAAAGCTGACACGCTCAACTGGTCATTTCAGTAGATTGGAGTTCCTGTTCACAAATAAAATGGCCACGTTTTGCTCTACAACGCACCGGACTGTTTTCTAGAAGTGCCCAAACAGTAAAGTAGAGTCAGGCAAGGCGACCAGAAACTTTATTGGAACGACTGGTTAAGGGATGGATTCGGCATGAAGGGTCAAGAAAGACCTCGAGTGATATAGCGGCACGAGGTGAACGACCTGATCTAATTCCCGTAGAGGTATCATTAGTGAACAGCGTGCGCGCATTTTTTCGATGAACTATCTACGCTCTGGTTTGGTCATAATTATTTCATTTGTCAAACAATTTTGAGAACCTTTATAAAGTTAATTTCATGGCAGGTTGCTTTTATCGGGGCTTTGAAGAGTCAGATCACTTTTGGATAAACTAAACAGTATCCTTTCGAAAGTAATGTGTATTAACACTGTTAATTACGTGACATATTTAGTTGTTTCCCTATTCCTCAGGCTAATTCAGTACCCTTCCGGTAACTGCTCAATTTTCAAGACTGAACTGTTCTATTTTATACAAAGTCGACTCTACCTCAACCGTTTTTCTATAGACGATTTGTTTACATTCATTTCTGGGCTTGTTGTTGAACTTTGAACTGAACAACACTTTTCCCATTTAATTTGTCAGATAGCACACTGCCCTTCGTGTGCTATCCTGTGCTGCTCACTGCCCAAGGTTCAATCTAGCCGTAAGCCTTTCTTTAGTTCTCACGATTTACTGTTAATTTCCTATAGAACCACGGTCTACCTATCTATACTGTCTGCCCATGTCCACTGCCCAATTGCAACTACGGAACAAACGCAGGTGAAGTTCGTGGAATTCGGTTTCGCCGCAATTATTACTGACCGGCCATCGGTGAATTAGACTACACGTTACCTGTCAAATGGGACATCTAGATCGTGCGCTTAGGCTAAGTAACCAACATGTAGTGCCGCATCTTTTGCTAAATCTCAAGAATCCACAATTTCCGGCTTGCGCGTCACTCAGGTGGGTTTTCTCGAATACGTCGAAGTAATCTACATAGGGGTTACCTGGCTTATCCACAGGCGAAAGTCGATTAGATCGAAAAGTCCCAGAAAGCACTGGGAATTTACACCATCTTTGATCGCTTATGGAAAGGCGAGTGGATGCATAACTCTTTCAGATGTGCTGTTTGATTTGACGGATTCCGATTGATGAGCGCTATTGGCTAAAAATGCTCATCGTTGTGCCTGTATGTACATGAAAGTGGATCGCATGTTCCAGATGTGCTTTGAGCATGTCTCATTTATTTTAATGCACTGTTAAAGGCCCATGTTAAAGCTGTCACGCTAGATACCTTGTACTTCTAAATTGTGGGGCTTCGGATGCCCGTCATACCACTTTAACTGAACATTCCAATCAAGGGTGCTCTGCGCTTTTGCGTTGTGCTACTTAGTTCACATTTTCCTGCGGGATACGGTATAAAGCATATTGCGTACGTGTGTGTTCGAGTATGCGAACCGTATTCACTGATTCCCTGATCAGCTGTAGACCGACGTATAGTAACCAGCTTCGTTAGAGAATTGAACTAACACACCTATCCCCTTGAGTGTTGCTTTTTGGAGATCAACGAAGCATGCGAGCCATCGACTGACAACGGCAGGTAGAAAGCTGACACGCTCAACTGGTCATTTCAGTAGATTGGAGTTCCTGTTCACAAATAAAATGGCCACGTTTTGCTCTACAACGCACCGGATTGTTTTCTAGAAGTGCCCAAACAGTAACGTAGAGTCAAACAGGACGACTAGAAACTTTATTGGAACGACTGGTTAAGGGATGGATTCGGCATGAAGGGTCAAGAAAGACCTCGAGTGATATAGCGGCACGAGGTGAACGACCTGATCTAATTCCCGTAGAGGTATCATTAGTGAACAGCGTGCGCGCATTTTTTCGATGAACTATCTACGCTCTGGTTTGGTCATAATTATTTCATTTGTCAAACAATTTTGAGAACCTTTATAAAGTTAATTTCATGGCAGGTTGCTTTTATCGGGGCTTTGAAGAGTCAGATCACTTTTGGATAAACTAAACAGTACCCTTCCGAAGGTAATGTGTATTAACACTGTTAATTACGTGACATATTTAGTTGTTTCCCTATTCCTCAGGCTAATTCAGTACCCTTCCGGTAACTGCTCAATTTTCAAGACTGAACTGTTCTATTTTATACAAAGTCGACTCTACCTCAACCGTTTTTCTATAGACGATTTGTTTACATTCATTTCTGGGCTTGTTGTTGAACTTTGAACTGAACAACACTTTTCCCATTTAATTTGTCAGATAGCACACTGCCCTTCGTGTGCTATCCTGTGCTGCTCACTGCCCAAGGTTCAATCTAGCCGTAAGCCTTTCTTTAGTTCTCACGATTTACTGTTAATTTCCTATAGAACCACGGTCTACCTATCTATACTGTCTGCCCATGTCCACTGCCCAATTGCAACTACGGAACAAACGCAGGTGAAGTTCGTGGAATTCGGTTTCGCCGCAATTATTACTGACCGTCCATCGGTGAATTAGACTACACGTTACCTGTCAAATGGGACATCTAGATCGTGCGCTTAGGCTAAGTAACCAATTCCTTGCTTTGAGATCACGGCCTTAGCACAGGATAGTACAAACAGGAAAAAAAGACTGACTTACTGGCAAGGCAATTTGGTCGTGTTATTTGGAGCCCAGGCGAGCGTGAAATTTGTGAAGCCCACAAGATCGTCGCGTATCTCATACTTGTAAAGTAGTTTCGGCAGGAAGTTTGAGGTAAACGCAATGATGAACGCCTGAAATGGGTTGAAATCATTCAAAGCGGTTAAAGAGCTGCAGAGTAGAAAACGTGCGCGTGACATCCTCACTAGGGCAGGAAAAAGTAGAGCTACATTCAGTAACAAACTTGCCTCAAGTCTGGAGGAGAGGTTACCAAGAATAGCAGATAAGATGCACAGTTAACACAAAATTCGTTGACAGGCCAACGGTGAACTCAAATGAGCACATTTAATGTATCCAGAGATTGCCCAGCAATAAGTTCCGTCCAGTGGACGCAATATGTCACATAGACCTGTATGTTTAGTCAGTTGTACAAGAGATGATCTGGTTTACGACACGGAATATGATTGTGCATTTATTCTGCTTTCGGCTATTGTTCAGGGTCCCATTGTGCGGGGTTGCTATAAGCTGAAGCTTTTGTCAGTTTTTCCATCGACGTTGGCAAACGAAATTCCATAACATAGAATATAAAACGTTTCATTTGTGATTGCAGTCACTAACTGCTGGACAGCAGAGTAAATACGTGGAATGTCCCAAATAGTTCAAAGACTGAATCTGTTGACAATGCTCCAGTGAGTGTGGATGACGTAGCTGAAGGATCGACATGCAAAGTCACTATTACTCTGTGCTCAGAACTTCTGCCAAATTGATCGAATTTCGATCAGTGAGAAGTGAACTGCTGAAAGAATTTGGCCTTCAGCTATATCAGGTAAAGACAAGCTACGCGAGTCGGAGACATGAAAGGTGCTGATCACGAACTAACAAGTACTGACCGATTGCTACAAATTTACCGCATTCAACACTGTGGATACTTTTACGGTACTCGTGCTG